AAAATGCATAATCTAATATTGTAAATTGTATTATTATTATTATTAATAATGAGAAAACATAATAAGTCTAATCAAAATGTAGATATCTTTGTACATATTTTTTCTACATTTTAGTAAGCTTTTTTCCAAATGTCTGTTTAATTTTTTCTGTCTTATGCTAGAATAAAAGTAGTACAGAAGAGCCTCATGTCATTTAGTAAAATGTCAAGAGCTTTCCGAAACTGAAGATTTAGGCTTTTTCATGATAGCTAAATCATTAGAGTTTACTGTTTAAATGCCTAATCTAAATCACTAAATAACTCACTGTCTGTGCCTGTCTGTGCATATTATTTCAAAAGTTTTGCTATCTTCAATATAGACTTATGGAGAAGTAGGGCCCATATTTCTCAAAAACCCCTTTCTTTTTATACTGTGCATACAGTACCCCGTAAAAGCTACCTAAACTGTTTCTTCTAATAAACTATATTAAAACCTAGCCCATTGTATTATAATATTTCTGATCAAAACATTTTTCTTATTTATTTTTATTCTCCCTTGGATTAAAATTTATCATGAAATGGATTTTCATCCACAAATCATGCCAGTATTAATAAAAATGTTCTAAATGTGGAGAAAACTTCAAAATTCTGCATTCTTGAAAGATTCCTGTTGTATTTTGAATTGCTGTCTTTCACTAGAAGGATTTTTTTTTAAGGGTAATTGATTTTGTAGCACAAAAGGAAAAAAAGTTTTTTATAGAACAATCTGTATAGAGCAGAGAAGGCGGCCATTGACAGACTGTACAGAGGCAGATTGATTTGCACAAGATTTATACACTTCTATACATCAAGCGAGCTTTGTCAAAATTTGTATTGGTTTTAGTAATTTAGATACTCTTGGTTATATCCCCTAATGTTATATTCATGAACTGAAGTACAGACTAGAAATTCTTCTTAAGATAGTTAGGTAGTGTACATTCTATACAGCAACAAAGATAGATGCAGATTTCTTTTTCAATGCCAATTTAGCCTCTGTAGGAGTTTTGGAGGAAGTTAAACATATTTCACAGCAACTCACTTTACTGCATTCTGCAAAATCTGTAATTAGAGGATTCAAACAGTGATCTAAAGAAAACAAATTTTTTTTTCCCCTCAGAGATCCTCTGAAGACATTACAGAGATTTTAGATTTTTCTTTTTTTACATCATTTAATGTCATAAATACCAGCAAGATGACAAAGAACAGCCAGTATACTCCTGTCAAAGGAGTGGAATATTTTAGAGCCCATCATGATCCTTTAACACATCAGAACAGTTCTGTTGATGACTCTTCTGTGAAAAATGCTCTCCTACCCAAAGATACAAGCACAGACTCCTAGGACAATAGAACCTGGAAAATCATACTCAGATACAATGCTGTTCAAAGTTTTTTTTTGTGATACAATGATCTTCAAAGTGGTACAAAACATACTGTCTGCTTGAGATCATATGTAATATGTATTAAGACGTCTTCCACTGAAAGAAGGACTTTGATACAGGCTTCTCACAGAGGTGCTGTGATCTTGTGAAAAAGCAAAGACATGTTATTCTGGAACAATTAATATGAACCCTAACTATTAACTAACTAAGCCTCTGAGCTTAGTTTCAACATTTTTTGTCTAGCTGCAGCATCTTTGTGAGAGATCACCCTACTATATCAGAGAGCATAACATGGGAGAACTGTCAGAAAGGAGAGTCCTTCTCAGGCAAATGGGAAAATGGAGGAAGCTCAAAGCTGTGTGAGCTGGGCAGAAAAGCCAAGGCCTGAGAGAGAGATTCACAGAGAATCAATGTACCCTGCAGGGCAGTTTTAGAGTGTCAGTGGATAACAAAATACAAGCAAGCTAGAGTTAAAAGAGGTGGAGAAGACTACAGCCAAGGAAAAAGTATATTAACGTCAAAGTTCAGATAGCCATGGAGATCTGTTCAAATTAGAGCCAACACCGGCATCCTCCCTAGGTGGCAGCATCAGAGTGTCAGCCAAGCTGAGAGCGCTGCTTCCAAGTCCTTGTGAAAGCTCCAGAAAAAAGATAAGACAAAGAATTTAAAATGAGTTCTTTTACTTCATGGTTTGCCAAACAAGTTTCCAAGCTGGCAAGACAAGTAGAAGTTATGTATCAATGTCTTTCTCTTCACAAATTCCTTTTCCCTCTTTCTCTTGTTTATTGTTACAGGGTCTTCTGTTTTGTCTTATTTTGTTTTGCTATTCTCTTCTGTTGGTGGCCTGAAACGTCAAACTTTTCATTGAACTTTGACTGTAAGATCTCAAGAAAGCAGTGCCAAACCACCATGAAATAGGAGAGCAATGAACTCTTTTTACCTTTGTGAACAGATGAGTACAAAGCATTTTGCTTTCTGACCAGGAGATACTTGAAAAATTCAATTCACGTGCACACACTTCAATGCAATTTATTGCATACTACTAGAATATAGTGTACAAATTGGGATTGTCTTACATAATCACCCCTTTTCCAAAAGATTCACTGTAGAGGTGAGGGAAGCGAAAATGACAATGACAAGGAGAGAAAGGCTGAGATTTAATACATAATAACAATATGCTTTTTTTCTAAGACCTCACCAGTTCAGCAGAGCATAGTTTCTACTGGGCATTGGATACTATCCAGGAAAAGCATTCTGTTTGAAAGTATCAAAGAATCTAAAAACATTACAGAAATCTGGCACATATACTGCCACTATTCTCACCTTATCAGAAATCAAGTATGGTCCAAGATTACCTAAGAAGGCAGTGGCAAAACAGGGGAATAGTGAAAACATCTCAATCCAGAAAAAGGGTAAAATCTTCTCAGCCTTACCAGCTGCATGGTTTTGTATTTAGTGTCTGAATATCACTGAGTTGGAAAGCCTAGGGTCTAAATAGATTGCTTTCATAATTTTTCTGTGTGACTACTGTTCTGTTACTTCCTGTGGTTTTACCTTTTTTCAGAGCTGATTACTTCTGTCAAAGGCTGGGCTGGTCCTTCCGTGTTATATAAAGTACGTTTCTCAATTAAGAAATGCTTGTACTTATTCCCCATTCTGAGATCTTATTATACCATCTTCAACTATACTTATGGTAAGAAGAATCTTTTGTTTCACTCTGTCCCTTCACCTGATCAGTGCTATTTAGTGATGTACCAGTCATAAAGGTATGTAAGTATTAAGAAGTCACAGATGTCTCTTCAACTATTTCAGAGATTTAAATTTCTCTGCCTACTCCTCTTTTTCCCTTCTGACACTGTGCCAAATATTCCCATAAATTACTTAATTATTTTTCCCACAGCTGAAATAAAGCTTCAGGGTTTAGGGTTCCTACAGGCACTGTGGCATATTTTCTTGTGTATGGAAACCACACAATAGCACAATTTAACAGCATTTCACAGCAGCGTTTTGCAAGTAATTCTTCCTTCTTCATTTCCTCCAAAACTCTTGCATGAACAGTATTATATCTAAGTGACTGGCCTTGAGCCTTAAAGGGAATTTAGTTGTATGATTCTGAGCAGATAATTTGCCCCCCAATTTGTTTGCCAAATGGATGTCTAATTTACATTCACAATTACCTCAATTGCATGCATAAATGAGCTAATGAAACACACAAATGTGTAACTGGTCATAAATAGTCATTTCCATGTGCAATTGCAGTAATTGCATGCTCCTCATGATTTTGAAAATCAAGAACTTAATGTTAATTTGATGCTAGTTCATGTTGTATAACAGTTATATTTAAAGATTAAGTTTATCACTTGGCAAATGCAGCAGTATTTTCTATTATGTCTTTTTTCCATGATGGTTAATTGGTGGATAACAGTGTTTAACATTGCAGGGACTTCTTTTTGCTGATAAGCAAAGTTCAAACATTTCCCTAAAATAAGCAGGACTGCAAATCTATTTATATACTATATTGTGTCACAATAACCACAATTTTATACTCCTTTAAACAGTGTGTTTATAAAGAAATATTCATTTGAGGTAAAAGAGATTGTGGGGAAAGAGATAGTAAGTCACATAACGATTTTTATCCAAATGTTCTGATTCACAATAATCACATTACAGACATATCTAATTAATTTAACTCTTTGCTTTAGCCATAGGCTCTGCCAAAATCTAACTCTCATTTTCTGCTTCCAAATGCAGGCAAATCTTGTAGCTCTTGTTACTTATTCTGCTGCCATCCCATCTGTTTTCCTCTTTGATTGCAATTGCTTTCTGGATAAGATAGAACTAAGACCTCTATGAGGGAGATTAGCAAGTGCCACGATGTGACTGAATGACTCTGAAGTATTATATGAAAACTGCTATATAATTGCATGAAAAGGCTCACGTGTTTTGTACTATTAAATTGTATGGTGTAGACACCAAGAATGTATATTGCAGTAGTAGTTTTAAGTCATCGGACATAGTCCATTTTAAAATTAAAATGCATATTTCAACTATTTTACTGATATGATTAGACTGTAAACAATATAATTCAATTGCAGGAGTTATGTTTTAATCTTCTAAAGGTAAGATCTGAATTTGTATTTTTCTTTCAGTAGTTTTAACAATAGGAATAGGATTGATAAATGCAGAGCCAGAAATATCGTGTTCATTACTGCAGATAATACACAGAAACATTAGTGAATAACAATAGCTCAAAGAGTAATCCAAAGTATATTAAGAAGATAATGATTATGTTTACAATTAGATGGCAACTTATGGCTGAACACCATCCAAATCATTTTACAGTTTGGGTCTCGATCCTGTAATCTATTTCACTCAGGAAATCCCGTGAGCCATCTCTGGGACTGCCATAAGGAATATTTAGGTCTTGTCATACAAATATGATGTCCTATATCCAAATATCATATCCTAGGCCTAATTGTTTGATCAGTTTTATAATATAGGTTAACAGTTTATAATATAGGTTATATTTATAAACAAGATCCATTAGAACAGAGTCAAAGTAATAAGTAGAAGCCAATAATGGAGGAAAAAAAGTCAAACTTGCCTTCAATAGCTGCTGGTTTCTTTCTTGGACTATGTTCTAGAAGAAGACGAGGTGGTACCATTTCCTTATGTCCTGCACATAAGCATACAGGTTAAGAAGCATAGAAAATGTCTTTACTAACAGGCTGTGCAGATTTGCTGGGAGGCTGAGCTCCCTTCAGAATTTTTCATGGTTAAAATATTACACTGTGCATAAAAGCCATTATCTTCCAGACACCATAGAAAGGAAATGTATTTCTCAACAAATAAAGTAATTTATTTTTAAGAGACACATTTTAAATCAATGAAGTCCCAGTGACTCAAGCATATGCTGAAATGCTTACAGTTCTATTTTTCTTCATTAGACTAAAAAATTCTGAAGAATAATACTGTGATAATAAGGTTACATATTCATGATGCCTCTTCTACAGTAAAAACATTTTATTCTGTTGAAAAAATCATCTTCAGTTGTTGCCTCAAGTCCACTTATTATGAACCTCTTGAAACACCAGTAAAAATTATGTTTCTCATCCTTAAGGATTATTTGTAATTAGCCAATACCAACCAGGTCATGCACTGTAAACACTGACAAGGTTCTTATTCCAGCTGCCAACAGAAACACCTCTGCTCTCTCTGAGTGTTGAACTGTACTTTCTCATAGTTTTGAACTGGAACTTTCTGTAGTACCTTAGCCTATGTGCAGATACCATGCTTTATCAAAAATATTTTTCATTTCATTTCACCAGAGATTCACAAACAGATCAATTGCACTCTAATATTATTTATGCTTCTTTTCTGGTTTATAACACCTGTTTGCACTCTCATAATTTCCTTTTCATTCCTTTCTCTGGCAGTTATGCTCAGTAGCTATCATGTCATTGTCATTTGGAAAGCACAATTTGTTGTGTCCTGTGAAATAAAATTAAGTAGTTAAATTTAGTATCAGTTCAGTCATATGCACCAGCATACATTCACTCCACCAGAGTCCACATGCAATCAGGCTGTTAAATCTCAGCTCCAGCTCCACATCAGAAACTCAAAACCATGCCTCATGCTCGGTGATAGAAGAGAAATTAAGATCTTAATGAGCCTTGGAAACAGTACTATCATACTTACCCCTCTCCTTTTACAGAGCTATGTATGCTCATGGGGAATGCGTGAGAAAAGCATCATCTTGAAGACAGCAGTAGGATTTGAGCACCATTCTCTTATTGCATGATTATCTCATCAGCGTATGTACAATTGCAGACAAATAATTTGCAAGCATGTAGTTTCATTCGTCCAGTAATTTGTATAAAATATCACACATGGAGCTGCTCAAACTTGACTTACATGCCTGAGCCACTGACAAAATGTTGACACACTGACAAAAGCAATGCACTGAAGGTGCTGTGTAACAAATGGTAAAAATCTTAGGTCTTACATGCATTTCCTGTCCTATCACAAGTGGATATTTACCAATCTCATCACAGAATGATTCTAGCCTTAAAATGAATGGTAGGCAAACTTCAGAAATCCAGATGTCTAGCCATGATTTTACAAACAATTTATGTCTTCAAAAAAATCATGTTGAATTTGCAAACTTTGCTAACGAGACGCTGAATACCATCTGTTGCCAGCCAGAATAGAAAAGTTATATCCGTAACCTCTGACAACATACAGAAAACCCATCTATTGAATTCCTAGTTCAGAATGAAAACAAAACCAGTATATAAATTAATGAAGAACAGGTAAATAATCTTATTCTCTCTGCTAGTTTTGAGTAAAGCCCTAGACTAAAGTTTAGGGTTGTTTTTTTTTTTCTTTGCCTTTGCCTAAACTAGATTACATATCCCTAGATGGAAAAAGTGATAAATTTTGTAACCTGGACTAATTGTTTTGTGTGACAGACAATACAGGGCTGTGGCTCAGAATGTTGAGTAGATCAGTAATGAAGAAGGATAGTCAATAATGTGGACTGCAGTGTGGTATCTACTGTGTGGAGCAATGATCTAACACCTCTAGGTCAAAGCATGGGCTGGCCCCATTATCTTCCTGTTCTTTGCTATAGCAGCAGTTTTCTAATGATTGCACCACTGTTAGTTAGTATAATGCCAGTGCAATACCACTTATTGCTAATGACTTGTCAAGTTCTATTTTATAGTTTTACAAGTTTTAAGCAAATCATTTATTTCATGCAAATTGACCACATGATCCAATATGAGAGTGTTTTAAGCACCAAAAGCTTCGGCTTCACAGATCAAAAACTTTCCCTTAGGCCAGAATGTTTGTTCTGAGCAAGTTCCCATCCACTCCGATAAAAAGCTCCTTTCATGTTTCCATGTGTTATTAAATGTCTCTCTATTCACTTTGATGGGAATGCAGAGGACAGTAGCTGAATAAATATTTTATCTCTTCTTTTGATGAAATATGTTAAAGGGGATATCCTAAGTCAAATTCCTTTTCTCTTCCTTTTTCTCTTCTCTGTAAGTTATAAAGCGCAAATGGTTTTCTGCAGTACGGAGAAATCATTAATATAAAAGAGGAATTGGCCTCAGCAGATCAGACCATTAGGATTAATGGTGACTGCTATCTTGACTCCAGCAGTGGCCAGTTGGACACATATCCATGATGTAAATGAGAGGAAGGCAGGATGTTTTTAATGATCCCAGTGGACAATCAGATTAGTCCATGAATCATGAGAAGTCATTATCCAGATTACCACTATTATTATCGGACATACAGTTATCTCGCTGCTTTAAAAATGCAGCTACAGAAGTGCACTGAAATTTAGTGTCTGCATATTTATTTGCTTCTCAATTCAAATTTAAACTTTATTTTTCTACTATGAGATAAGTCTAAAAGGTTCATTTGACTTGATTTTCTGTTTTTTTTTATTTTATTTTATTATTTTTTTTATTAGGGTTGGTTTGATTGCTCCAAAAGATGTAATTGCAAACACAAAAATGTGCATATATTTCTACACCTAATCTGTCCATGCAGTTGTGCTACAGATACCTCCTTCGTGCACGATATTGTAAACAGCTATCTGACAACAAATTACAGCTGATGTAAAATGGAATAGTGAAATGTTTTGACTTTAAGCTCATGGGAGAAAAAGTGTCATGTTAAGACATGAGTAGCTTCCTCCACTCCCTGAAAGGAAAGAAATATGCTGCAAAGGTTTAAGACACGAGACGGTAACATGAATACTTTATTGAAAATAAGATGCAGTCCTCAAGCTTTGTGAAATTTCTGTCATCGATGTTTATTAAATCACTTGAGATGTCATGAAGAAATTCATTCTGACTTGGTTTATGAATATTTTAGATTTTATATTACATGATAAGGAATACAAGACAAACTTTAATTACCTTACTTTTCTCAATCTAGGAAGTGTCTTTCTACATGTGTCAAAAATGTCATGTTCAAGCATTGAGGATAAATTGATTTCTTATGATAACAGCAAATCATGTGGGTTTTCTTTCTTCCCTGATCTGCCCAGTTCAATTTGTCTGCAGTGACCTTAATTGACATAAAGTCTCTAAATTTATCTTTCTAAATCAAAAGATCACAGGATAAAAGAAAATTCTTCTAAAATTATTATTATTATTAAACAACTAAAGGCATTGTAGACGGCTGAATACTCCAATTGGATGTGAAGAGAAATAATGACACCACAGAAAGCAATACATGGAAACACCATTCCTATGACCGTACTCTTCCTCATACCCATATACCAGCTATCTGAACAGTGGGAATCCTACAATCCAGCAGCACCAACACTTTGCTACAGTGCCTCTCAAACAGCGTAGCAAAATATTTTCAGATAAATCTCATTTTGCCCAGATGTGACATCTTTTCCTAATGATAGTAGAAATAATTGAAATGCAGTTCGTGTGCTTTTTGCAGAGTCATTTGTTATGAAAAGTAAATTCAAATAAAATGTTTCATGAAGCCTGGAACAAGACATGGAACAGCAGGAAGAGGTAAGACTGCCAAATACACTTTTAGAGGACTGAAATCTTAATGGAGTCCCACCGTTCTGTCCAGTCTTCCAGTTTTGATGTGTGAGTTACTTGAAGTTAAAGATGAACCTCTCCCTTGGTATCAGTAGTTATTCTTCAGAAATTAGACTGTCACTATTCTGAGGAAGGGTTTCTCTGCTTAGTATGTGTGCATGAAAAACTGTGAGGAAACAGTTTTTCATTAAGAAAGAAAAGCTGAGGATCAAGAGGTGAGATTGTGTAGCTGTTTTGAACAATGCAAATTCTGATTAAGGGGAAGGAATGAATTGAAATACAGTTGCCCAAAATAGGCAATCTTTCTAAGGAATACATCATAACGTGATGGTTTTATGTGCACTAGTAAATTAAATGGTGCCTGAGAATGTTACTGGGCTCTGGAATTCAGTCATACATATCCTGCAACATTTTTTTGAATAGCCTTTGGCAATTTTGACCTGTGAGAAGTTCTAATGACTCAAATAATTAATTGGCTCAATTCAGGAGTTAGCAAGGGCCAGAGACCACTCCCAACAGACAGCCGGGATGCAGCCGGCCTATTTTGACCTTGAGGAAGTGTAATGGATGCAGAACACTCTATGACAGAAGGAATCGCATTTAGAGAACAGTTGAGTTGAGTTTGATTTACTAATCTAGATGTAGCTCACATGTCTTAAAAGTATAACAAAATTATGGAAAAAAAAAGTTTAAACAGGGTCTTAATAACCTATTTGGAACTCGGTTTTTGTCAGTGGCAGATGGAATTAACGGATAATAAAATGAGGCTTTTAAGGAGGTCTACCCTAGTAGCCAACATATATTTCAGTTTTTCAATTGCACTTAGGATCTGGCTCTTTATTAAATGGATAATTGCCCAACATACAGTGAAACTCTCATTTTGCATGAGGTTGATATTACCTAACGAAAAACACTGCTACAGTACATGCAATGATTACCAGTAGCAATACTATCCTTTAAATTTTCATATTTTGTTATGCTGGCTATCAGCCAGTTGTTATTATGATGCGTAAGAAAAGAAGAAAAAGAGAGATAATATAGGTAATGCTCAATCTATCTATATATTCCTCTTGCATTTAAAATATATTAAAAA